GTAGCAGGCGTCGTCGTCGTCGTCGTCGTCGTCGTCGTGTATCGACGGTGGTGGTAGTAGGAGGAAGGCGGCAGGAGCAATGCTTGCACACATTCGTGAGCGAATTAGTATAGGTCTCGCCTTACTACCCAGCAGATCCACCTGCATCGTTGTACGTACTTAATTAATTCTTATAGGCACACGTGAACAAACCCCAAAATGTAGTGATTACTTGATCCTGAGCGGGAAACCCGAAACCTACACCCTGAGTCTAAACCCAAATCCCAAAACCCGAAATCCTGCAACCCCCGGGCCTACTCGACGGAGCTCCAGCGCAGAAAACCCCCCATCTTGGTAGAGTTTTCCTCGCGTGGCTTACGCAACCCTGTCGGCTTGGGGATTAGATCCTATACTATGAGCCCTGTATTCCTACAGAGGATACGGGCCATACCCTTTTATGGTTCATGTAGGCAGTATGGATCGCCCTCATGCACCAACAGAGTAATTGCAGGCACTTGTAACACCGGTTTCCCATTGCCCACTTTCGGCGGGCTAGGTCAGGTCATGCCAACAGCTACCGTATGCGGCGAGCTCTTGTGTATGGCCATATCCAGCGAATTCAGGAGGATTTCACCTGCTGTTTGTCAAGAAGAATCTGGACAAGAATCTTGCACAGAGTGCATAAGTGCCACAGAAGCACATAGAGAATCGTATACAAGGTTCATGGTCTCGGGTTGGGAGGACGCCTCTGCGTGTTGCCCCCATAACATTAGCCTAACAAGCAAATCAGTATCGTTGCCAGTGATTCTCTCCTTCTTGCGGTCTGTGAGGGTCTCTGTATGGCTGTAGCCCGCGGCTGTAAGTGAAAGTGTCTAAGTGTGTGATGCTGGTTTGAGCTGCGGAAAGGCGAAGGCTTTCATAGGCTTTGAGATGATCTGCTGCGCGTTGCTCCAGGCTGCTACTAGAACACTGAACCCGCCTTATTCGTGCATTCCTGCGGTGCGCAATAACCACAACAAACTATGTTTAGCCGGTGCTGACGACAGTAGTGCTGTCCGAGAAGCTGGCTGGTATCCTGATGGCTTCGAAGTCTTTCAATTTGAATCCCGACCTGCAGCCCATCAAGACTCGACTGGCTTTTCTCTGACCTGCGAGGCTGTACAAGGGTAGTTCTCTAATAAGGTCCCCAGTATAGCACGGCACCCTTATAGAAAGGATCCCAAAAGGGACCCTAATTCAGCAAACTACCCATAAGAAACGAGCACCTGGGTGAGCCCAAGTTGATCCCAACAGTGCGGTCGGCACACCGAACGGCAAGGACTCGAACCAGCCTCACACCCAGGTAGCTCTCTACAAGCCCCCTCTTTGCAGTAGTCTTTGCACACGGCCTCCAACCTTTACCACACACATGTTTGTAGATGTCATGAGTACTCGGCGTGTTCGACACACTTTCGGCCTCAACCCCACCTCTGCCCCGGGATTCTTGAAAGAAACGTGACAAAGTCAGTGTAATTGCCCCCTCAACTCTAAGCCCTAAAAACCCTAAACCCTAACTGAAACCCTAAAACTCTAAACCCTAAAACCCTAACTGAAACCCTAAAACCCTAAACCCTAAGACCCTGACGGAAACCCTAAACCCTAAACCGTAAAACCCTAAACCCTAAGACCCCTAAACCCTAAGACCCTAAGACCCTAGTTGCCATAAAAGGGGCATCAGGAGCTCCTTCACGGTGAAGCCTTCTTCGTAGAGTCCCGCACAAGTGCAGGTCCTCGTGCGCCGGGCCCGGTGCGGGAATTTGCTTTAAGGGTTTTTAGGGTTTTATATAGTTTTATAGGAACTTATAGAGCTTTATAGAATTTATAGGGGTTTTAGGGTTTTAAGGTTTACGGTTTATAGGGTTTTATAGAGTTATATAAGGGTTTCGTAAGTTTTTTTTAGGGTTTGAGGGTTTTAAGGTTTAGGGTTTATAGGGTTTCAGGGTTTAGGGTACGGTAAGGATGCTGATGCTGCGGGCTGAGGAAAGTAGCTGCAACACACCCTGGGGTTCATGGCTATCCTTGGATGTTCATGCAGGCGTTTTGGTGTTGCCAAGGTGCGCATGCCGATTCCAGAGGTTGCCCTACTACACCGGTTACAAGGAGATGCGACAACTCTTGTGGAACATGTAGGCCACACGATCTTAAAGCTCGTCAGCTGCACGAATTGTTATCTTTCTGTAGTTGGTGCTGCCATTGCTACGCCTTCCGCTGTCACGCCCTTGCTGTGTTGCCGCTGCTTTGCTTGATTACTACAACTGCGCCCGTTGCGGCTACTCGCCTTCTCATCACTAGTACAATAATTCCATGGCCCGGCAAGGCCACGTCTGGAGCTATCCCACCCTAAAGCCTTAACGAGCCATGGTTCTGTGGATTCACTTCGCGATACTTCCGCCGCTTCATGAGCCGGACGATCACGACGCAGAACTGTGCGAAGTCCTGGAGCGCTGGCCCAAACTATGCTCCCAACTACAGGGCTGCAGGGGTGCCAACCCTCGGGCATGCGAAGGCGGGTTTTGGACTCTGTGAGCTGTACCTGGCAGGATCAAGAAGCTGGCTTAACAACGGCAAAGCTGGCCGAACATGATAATTCCGACTTGCTTGCGGCATAGATGACAGGGATCAAGAGTCTCACGCAAAAGACTGCTTAGGGCTTAGGGTTTAGGAGGCTTAGCGGGTTAAAACATTTCTTTTGGGTTTAGTGAGGGTTCAGGCAGGATCCAGGGTTCAGGACCATCCGTGTTAATCTGACTTAATGTACGTTCCTCAACCACTGGGTTTGGGGTCGCTAGGAGTTTTCGGAGTTTTAGCATAAGGACCTCAAGCCAGTAGCACACAGCTGCACTTCAATGGGGGATTCAGGGAGCTTCGTGAGTAGCTAAACATCTAGGCATGTAGTCGGGAAGGCTGCAACCAAACGATCAGGTCGGCTGGGTTCAGGGTTTAGGCCAGTGGTTTTGGTGTCTTGAAAGGAAGGAAGCTCGGGTAAACAGAAGCCCATCAAGCTAGTCTCGGAAATTTCCCTTTCCAATATGGGGATAACGTTAAGCTCGTCCCCTCAACTGCCGCACATGTGTTTGCTTGTTTAGTTTTCGTCGCAGAAATTCTGAGGCCTAATGCCGAAACCGTACAGCCAGCACTGCAATGCAAACAGCTCGGCCCGTACTACATAAAACGCAGTGACAAACGGGACTTCCGTCAGACAGGACTACTACTGTAGTACTGATATAGCAAGACCTTTTTCACGAGGCCCCTTATCTTCGCACACCTCCATATGGTGATGCAAAGGTAAGCAGGGGCCGGACAATGATGCCCGAAACCCTGCTTACTGATCCCCACCGGTTGTTTTCCGGGTCCCTCGTAGCTTTTTCCTCGCAGACATGCCCTTTTACATCAGGCTGGCATAAACCCCAAACCGTGGTTTAGAGCTTTATGACTTGAGGTTGTGGTCTTAGGTTCTGGCATTTGAACTTTTGCTCTAAACCCTAAACCCTAAACCCTAAACCGGGGTTTCGGGTTCAAGTCTTTAGGATTTCTGAAACTCAACAGCCCTGGGGCTTGAGATTTTTGTCTCTTAAGGTTTGAGTCATTGAGGTTGTGGGGTACCCTAAACCCTAAACC